AAGCCTTCATCAATATCATTCCATATATACCTGGTTTATGCTAGTTTATTAAATGTGTATCAACCATACACTTGCTTTCTAGTTTTAAAGGCTCTATGTAATCGACGTTTTTGCCGGGACAAACGGCGACCAAGAAAAAGTGAAACCATCCGTACTGTAATTTACTATAACTTCTTTTATTATGTAGTCGTCGACAAAATCCCTGTTTGAATGCTGTTCGTTATAACACTCAAAACCAGAGACACATTAAGGCGTTATGAGTAAAATAATGCTGAAGAACTTTTAAGTCTAATTTTTGTTATTGCAAGGTTCGCCTAAGTTATGGACACTTAGAGTATGGTTATCACTAAAGCGTTTGTTGCCGATACCAGGGAAAGCTCATCCGTTACTTTCTGGAATGCATACCTACGAAAGGAACAAGTATAATGCTCAAGAATTTGAATGGTATCTCAACTCGAGCTGATTCAAAGATAATGCTTGTATTATCTGTATTGTTCAAGRCCTGGTACACATCTTTATTCATTTCATCATTTTGATACAGTTCCTGATAGATAAACTTAGATATCAGATGTGTCATTGATTACTTCCCCAACGGAATCATATAAGGTGACACTGTAATTACAAGCTTGTTTAACATTTCTTTTGGTATCATCACCTCGATTCGAGGTACAGTGTACACGAGGATTTTGGCCTTCCAGTGATTTATTGGTTATCACTTGATGGTGGCTGCGCAATGACGTCATACAATGGAGCACCCTCTGGAAATGGCCCCTCCAGAACCTGATAACAAGGAGCCTGTCGTCCCTCGAGGGGTTCATTCAAAGATCCTGGATCTTCAAGGACATTGTACAAAGGCTCTTTCTGGCTGTTTGGTTTTTGCGCTTTTTCTACCTTTTTGTTGTACATTGCACTATCAAAATAAGGTCGATTTTTAACTTCTTCCTTGGGATTATTAACCTCAGCATACTCTGGAGCTTCAAGTACTTTGAAAACAGGCCCTGCACTGGGATGAAATACAGAACCATGCTTGTCCAAACCCTCAACCTTACCATGATTGGACACGGTATTTTGTGGATCTTATGAAATAAAACGAAATTATTTCTGTTAATTTAGCTAATTCAATTGACTAGAAATTGACGATCATTGAATGACCACGTTGCTCGGAATGGCTAATAGGAATAGTTTGACTAGGAAACCTATTCGTAACCAAATCAAGTAGCCATTATCAGCTTCAGGTGACGGATTCTGAGTGCTACCAAAATGCAAGTAAAACGTTTTTCTTTATCTTTTACGAGGACTTACCTTTATTAGGGTGACCATTCGACATGTTTCTTCTGCCAAGTGTTATTGCATTCGTATAGGCATACGAGTACTCATCCTGGTCCAGTGACTTGTGACCATC